TCACCATGTTGACCAGGATGGTCTCGATCTCTTGACCTTGTGATCCACCCGCCTCGGCCTCCCAAAGTGCTGGGATTACAGGCTTGAGCCACCGCGCCCGGCCAATGTTTTTTTAACTCCTTTCGTAAAACTTGCCCTGACGCACTTCAAAATTAGAGTACTGAAATTAACAAGGTATATATTACTTAAGTTTTTAGTTCAAAAAATAACATTAGACTTCTGTTAGAAAGATAAAAAAGATATTATTTATTGCTCAGCATCTATGTGCTGTATGTACTTTATATATATTATCCCATCATTAGAATAACCATAGTAAGGTACATATGGATGAAAAGCTTTGATGTAGAAATAGACATAGAAATCTAAGTTTTTTTAAAGTCCTTGCTTTTTTCCTTAGTAGTACTGTACATTGCAGGGCACCTAAATAGTTGCACTTCCAACAGAGAGAAGTCAGAAACTTTACCCCATTTTAGAAATGGGGAAAGTAAGGCTGCAAGAGATTGGCTGCCCGCAAAGTTGCATGAGTGAGTGGTAGACAGGATTCAAATCCAGGCTGATCTGACTCCAGAATGCACACTTTCTGTTGTACTGGACTTCTTCCTGGAGAGCACTATTTTTTATGTAACAGAGGTAAACTGTTAAGTATTCTTCCTGTACATGCCTCTATTGCTGTACTTGAAGTATACTGAAATTATCTGTATACTGGCTCCACCAGATTAAGTTCCTTGACCACAGAGAGAATTTACCTCTGTATTCCTGGCTCCCACACAAGACCTGGTACATAGTAGTAATAATAATGGCTAACAGATACTGAATATGTACTATGTGCATTAACTCATTTAACACAACAACCTTCTGAGGGCATACCTACTATTATTATCCCCATTTTACACATCATTAGCCCCAGGCTCACATGGCTACAAGTAGCAAAGCCCAGATTTTGGCTCTAGAGCCTGTGGACCTTGATAATTTTTTTCAACTCAACTATTTTTCATTTAAGTTGGAATGGTAGTTTTCTGGAGTCTAACAGGAGTTTAAATGCATTAAACTTTTGCTAGACTATGGAAAAAGAGTTTAATCACAGTTGCCAGTCATGTCACACACAAGGGGAGAGACACCAGTAAGCAGATAGTGAAGCAAGGTTGGTATCTGTTTGATATCCAAGCAAAGGAGCCAAAAAGTATTTTAACATATTTATGCCTAGAGATATGAGTAACTCCAGATGTGTCAAGGTAGGAGTAAACTTTTATACTGTCCCCTGGTAATAGTTTCTTCCAGCATACCACTCATACAAGTCATTGGTTGAGCATCTATTTACCTTGTACCAGGCACGGTTGTTAAGTGTGATATTTTCTCCCTCATCATCACAACCTCACCATGCAGGTATTAGAAGCCCCATTTTACAGATGAGGAAACTGAGGCTCAGAAAAGTAAGATGCCATACTCAGAGCTATAGAGCTAGGAAACAGCAACCTGGGTCACACTGACACCAAAGTCTCTTGGTGTCACCAAAGACCTTTTCCACTACAACACTTAATCTTTAGCTGGTCTGAAGCTAATTATGCTACCATTCAAGTGATTTCAACTCCAGAAAGCCATGGACTAGTGATTTTTAATCAATTTGGTAGCTCTTAAAACACCAGGAATGTACATCACAACCACCTGGAGATCTTTTTCAAAATATACAAACCTGAGTTCACCTCAGATCTGCTGAAATAATTTTTTTGGTTTTTTTGAATCAGAGTCTTACTCTGCCACCCAGACTGGAGTGCTCACTTCAACCTCCACCTTCTGGGTTCAAGCGATTCTCCTGCCTCAGCTTCCTGAGTAGCTGGGACTACAGGCGCACACCACCACACCTCGCTAATTTTTGTATTTTTAGTAGAGACTGGGTTTCACCGTGTTGGCCATGCTGGTCTCAAACTCCTGACCTCAGGTGATCTGCCAGCTTTGGCCTCCCAAAGTGCTGGGATTATAGACCTGAGCCACTGCACCCTGCCTGGAAGAATTTCTTGATTGTGATCTGAACACCTCTATTTCAAAACAGCTTCCCATAGTTTCTCATGCACACCCCCAATTAAGAATCACCGAACTAATCCAATTATTCATTTTATCACATAGGCAACTGAGGTCTAGAGAGGATAAATTACTTGACCTAGCTAATTGCAGCCGAAACAAGATTAGAACAAAAGTCTCGTGATTCCAGGTAGGACTTCTTTCACTAAATATTCTGGAGTAGGTAATGGAAAACAATAGAATAACAATCTCAACAAATCTCTCACTGTTCCACAATACCCCTCTCCTAACAGGCTAATTTCCTAACTACCCATTTCCAAGATGACTCCTGCTTCCCTGTCTTTGGTTTGGTTCACTTGGTTTCCCTGCCTAGAATGCCTTATTGCCTCTCTTTCCCAATGTTCTGAATACTGTCCACAGGCCTAAAACCTCTTGGACAAATTCACTCCTATAGCACAGAGATGGATGACATGATCACAGAACTAATTTGACAATACCATCATCTTCAAGTTTTAAGGTCACAGGTTCTATCTTATCACAGGTTGTATCTCCGTGATCCTAACCATGTCCTTCCAACTAGAAAGGACAGAGAACAGGACTTGACTGGTAAAGAATAGTAAAGAAAGGCCTAGTGAGAGTGTTAAAAAGAAAAACAGGCTGGGCACGGTGGCTCACGCCTGTAATCCCAGCACTTTGGGAGGCTGAGGCGGGTGGATCACCTGAGGTCAGGAGTTCAAGACCAGCCTCACCAACATGGAGAAACCCTGTCTTTAAAAAAAAAAAAGGAAAGAAAAAAAGAAAAACAGTTTTGGCAAATGAGAGGGCACTATCATCTCAGTTTTTAACTTCACAGCAGATGTAGTGAAATCACTAGATTGCAAGCTACCCACAGCTCGAGTAGCAAAGTAGTATTAGGTATCAATTAAATATCTACTATGTATCAGGCACTGTTCCAAACCTGCCTCACATCCACTAACTCTGCAATAACCTCAGGAGGCATTATTATCTTCATTTTACAGACAAGTGATCGATGAGGCTCAGAGGTGGAGAACTTGACCAAAGTCACAAAGCTAAAAAGTGAAGCTAGCCAATAAGCACATGACAAGCTGCTCAACATTATTGGTCATTACAGAAATGTCCATCAAAACCACCGTGAGACCGGGCACAGTGGCTCACACCAGTAATCCCAGCACTTTGGGAGGCCAAGGTAGGCGAATCACAAGGTCAAGAGATCAAGACCATCCTGGCTAACATGGTAAAACCCCATCTCTACTAAAAATAAAAAAATTAGCTGGGTGTGGTGGCACGTGCCTGTAGTCCCAAATACTTGGAAGGCTAAGGCAGGAGAATCACTTGAGCCAGGAGGCAGAGGTTGCATTGAGCCAAGATCTCACCACTGCACTCGAGCCTGGTAACAGAGCGAGACTCCGTCTCAAACAAACAAACAAAAACAACAACAACAAAAATACAACGAGATACAAGTTGGCTCCCACCAGGATAACCACAATCTAAAAATTGGAAAATAATGGGTGTTGGCAAGGATGCAGAGAAATTGGAATCCTTGTAAATTGTTAGTGGGAACGTAAAATGGTGCAATCACTTTGGAAAATGGTCTCAGAGGTCCTGAAATGGTTAAACATAAGTTATCATATGATCCAACAATTCCACCCCTAAGTATATTCCGAAGAAAACTGAAAAGCTATGTTCATACAAAAACTTGTACATGAAAGTTCACAGCAGGCTTATTCATGGCAGCCAAAAAGTGGAAGTAACCCAAATGTTTATGAGCTGAAATGGATGTGGTATATCCATATAAGAAAATATTTGGCCATAAAAAGGAATGAAGTACTGATTTATGCTACATCAATGAACTTTGAGAACAGAATGCTAACCTGAAACAACCCAGACACAAAAGGCCATATATTGTATGACTTCTTTCATATGAAATGCTCAGAATACGCAAATCCAAAGAGATGGAAAAATAAATTAGTAGTTGCCAGGGATTGTGGGGATAGGGAATAAGACTAGTAGGTGCTGGGTTACCCTTGGAGGTTATAAAAATCTTCTGGAATTAGTGGTGATAGGTGAACAGCACTATGAATATTCTAAAAACCATTAAATTATACACCTTAAAATGTTGAATTTTATGGTATATGTGTTATACCTCAATTTTTTTTAAGTGGAGCTAGGATTCAAACTCAGCTCTGTTCACAAATCCCAAGCTCCCCTAAGGCTTAAGAACTCTTCATTACGGAAAATTTTAAACATACAAAGGTAATGAACCGCCATGAAAGCATCACCCATTTTCAATTGTTATCAATATTAAGTCATTCTTGTTT